TTAAAATAAAAAATAAATTTCAATATATTATTTCTTAAAATATTGGAGATTTTTATTTTTATAAAAATTAATATGTATTTTGGACACACTGATCAATAGATTTTTATAAAAATTAATATCATATTACATATTTGGAAGAATTATATAAATTCTTTATTAAAGAGTATTTTTATCAAAATATTTATTTTTGTCCTACCTAGTATTATAAAGTGCATTAGTAAATGGATTTTATTATCTTATATACTATCATGACAAATGCTCAATAGTATTAAAATTTGATCAGGTCTTATATTATTAGACCTTATCATATACTATGCACCAAATACGCTCTTAAATAAAATGCATTAGTGTTTGTTGACATAGAATTCTGTCATTTTAATTAAAATTACAGTGTTTTATGATGAGAGAAAGAGTTATACAATAGAATTATGATGATTTTTTTTTTTAAAATTTAAATATTAATAAAAAAATTTATTTTAATTTTAACTAAAATTACTTGGAAAAACATTTTTTCCTACATAAAATCGTATAAAAAAACTTAAATAAAATGACATTATCTTGTAAGCTTAGTTAAAAGAGCATATTTTAATTTAACGTGAAAAAGAAGTTGTTTTTGTCCCTCATTTGTATTTTTTTGAAAGTTGTTTTTGTCCCTTCTTTAAAAAACTTACCCGATTTCTGGTTAGAAATTTAAGTGTAATCAGTGTAGTCTAGTGCTAGAATGAAAAGACTCGTAATTAAAACTATTATTCAAGTTTATATATCTACTATTACAGTTTGTAACTTATTCTATTTATGGACGTATCTCTCATATTTTTAACTCCCCTTAACCACTCAACAAGTAGCATTTGAGCGGTAATTTAGTTAGATTAGGTATTTAGAGATGGTAGTTAACAATCGAAGTTGTGCCTAACTCATCATGGTAGTTATTCTATTACGTATTTGATGATCTTATAATAACTATCTTCTAACCAAAAAATTATTGATAATTCAAATGCGAATAATATAGTCCACCTTCATTAAAATTAAATTAACTGAGGATTATTTAAATTAAAAGATCCATACACACTCATTATTTTATGATTTTAGATCAACAAATAATGTCAAGTATATATAATTGTAATTATCACTTAACCCATTAGTAATATCATTTCCTTTTGACCTCCCCTTTAGCCACCTAATATTTTCTCACAATATTTTGAATCTAATACTAAGTTTTTTCTCTCTAAATATCAAGGCTATTCCTTCAACAACTACTTGTTCACATTTTATTTGTTTATAAAACATGCAATTTATTTTGTGACTAAGAAAAAAAGTGATATATATATATTTTTTGAAGGAAAAAAAAAGAAGAGAGAGAGAGTAACATTGATGAATTGAGATACCAACATTACAAGAAAAAAATTATTTGTGACGAAAAATTTCATCACAAATGATAATTTTCGACACAAATAACTAAATTTGTATATTTTTGATCAAATTTGATATTAATAAGATTTTTTCTTGGACCTAGATCCTCTCATGTGAAAATTCACATGACCATGTCATGTGAAGAATCATAGTCATACAAAAGTGGATCAATGATAATAAAAGAAGAAAAAAAATATATTAAAATAGATAATTACAAAATCATAACCGTTAATTTATCTTTCTATAGTTATTCCTTTTTCACAGGATCCATTTCGTTTTTTCTTATAGTGTGGGGTTTGACTCCAACCTTCAAATGAGAAATTACGAACTTAGAATGTTGAGAAGTCAGAATGATAATCACCGTGTCATGCATGGAGCCCTTAGAGTTGGGAGCTAACTTGTGGCGTACTGAGACCAACCGGCAACCGACTCGGCAATGCACGTGGAAAGAGTGTAACAGGCTCGAGTGTGACTGTGTCCACAAACAACACTGAAGATGATTCTTCATTCACCCAATGCAGTCAGTAATAGCCGTCAATGAAGACCACGTGTCCACCAAACTCGTCGACCACGAAACTGAATCTCACACAAAAAAACACCAAAGGTTGGTTTGAGTTTTTGTTAATAAGAACAAAGTAAGAGTAGTGGTCCTCATTTTCAAACTATTCAAAGTGCAAACCACCCTCTCCCTTTGTTCTGTAAACAACACCCATGAAGATCAGGAAGACCAACCGGCCGTTCCTAATTTCCCACTAATGCCCCTCCTCTACATGTTCGAGTAAATATAGGTGGAAAAAAAACTCATTTTCTAATGTTAATATAAAAAAAATATTATTTCCTTTAATCAAAGAATTTTTTTATTTCTTATTTATTATCTGAGTAGGAGATAATATATTTTTATACAATATAAAAAGAGTATTATCTTATTAATATACAAGGATTTTTTTTTTATATTATAAGAGAATCTTTCTCTTATCAGTAAGACATTAAATTGTGTATAATAAATTTTTTTTTTTTTATTTTTTCTTTTTAATATATAATGGGACCATCGCATCTTATGTTTATAATAAAAAAAAATTTCCCCAAAGAGATAAGAAAAAAACGCAACGTTATTTTATAAATTATCACCACGAGATTTACTTAGAGATTAAAAATTATAAAGAGGATAAGTACGAACATATAATATTATATATGTTAGGAACTTCGGTGCTAAGAAGATAAAGAAAGTGGTAGTTAATTGAAGGTATGAATCAAATTGCGTAATGCATTCAGTTCATCATTAATTGTCCCCACTTGCACCTGGCCATTGATTGGACTCAACCTTCTTGCCATTTATTATTTGCCAACATAATATTACATTCTTGGAAACCATTTATAGCACAAGTTTGAATATAGATGTATCTCAATATATATGTATAAAAAATAGTTATTCTTTTAAAAGATAATTAATTTAATTAAATTTACTATTATTATTTATTTTATATTTAAATTAAACTTTTTTTTTTTCACTTTCTTCCATCACAATTTTTATTATATAATTATTTTTGTCACCATAAAATATAATAATTTTAATTAAAATTACAATTTAATTTTTTAAAAGGAAAAATATTAACATATATATATATAGGGATTAAATAGTCTCATTCAATAGAAGACATTTTATCTTCAGTCATAGACACACCAAAGTATGGGCCCCAGCTATTTATTTAAGAAAAAAAAAATACCACTCAAACCGATGTATCAGCAGGAATGGAAGCTTGTCTTCGGTAACATAAGATTAACCTTCTCCATATATATATCGTAATTAAGGTGTGGTTAAATTAGTTTTTAATTAAGTTGTGATTAAATTAGCTGTAGTCAACGTAAGTTTTTTATTTGAAAAAATAAAGTAATAACCAAGATATATACAATAAAAATTCAGGGTTGGTAAAATAATATGTACTATTTGAAATATATGTTCGGGAATCGGGATATAACTACGGTAAACAAACATGTCAGATGTAACTTTGTTAATTATTTATCATTAACACAGTTTAAATGTATTTATTAGCAGAGTAAAACTTCAAACTACTTATATACATCAACAAATGAATTAAAAAAAATGAAATCAATTAGAAGAATATTCATTTAAATTGCAAAAAATATTTAATTATTTTCGCTCAATTATGAAATATTATCCACTACATATTTAATTTTTAAAGCCTTTTTCATATTCAGTATTTTCTAACTATTTCATTTCTCCTCCTCGATTTTTTTAATACATGATATCTATGATGCACGGACACGGGCCACGACACGACACGCCGACACGTTAATTTTAAACAATGTCATATTTGGACACATTAAGACACGTTTTGATATTAAATAAATTTTTCATATATATAATATAATTTATATTTAATACATATAAGAGTCCATAATAAGTCATATAACCAATCAAATATTTCAATTTCATAACATAAATATAAATAATTTTTCGTACTTTTGTTAATTTTTCATGTCAAATTTCATAACAGAAAAAAATTAATTTATAAAGTATTTCTTTTATATTTAGTTAACAAAATAAAATTAAGATTAAAAAAAAAAAAACGTGTTCGAGCGTGTCTGAGTTTTGACTGCGTATCCGAAAAAATTGACTGCGTGTCGAAAAAACGTGTCGAAACGTGTCAGAGAGTTGACTGCGTGTCGCCAAATATTGACCACATATCAAACGCACACGAATTTTCAGAAATTAAGCGTGTCCGTGTTACGTTGAATGACATTACCTATTCCATAGATATGAATCCTCTGCATTAAAAAAAAAAAAAACCATGTCGAGCCGTTATTAATCTATTTCTTTGCAATAAGTACATTTAAACATCAAAACTGTTCTCTCAAAGGAAACGAGCACTTCTAGAACTAACCACATCCGAATTGATTAATCTCTTTCTAAAAGTAAATAGTTTCATTAAAAAAAAAAAAAGAGAGGAAAAAACCTCTTTCTGTTTTCAATTTTTCAAGCTTTTTGTTTCCCTCATAGATTGCGTCCAGATTCATTGGGGGCCGCAACAAGGCCAAATTGGGCAAAGAAATAAATATCTCAGCAGCAGCTCTTGAGCTTTACGTTAACGAAACAAGACCAAATCCCTGACAACATTAAACATAAAACAAACATATCTAAATTTCGAATAAATATCCTTTTGGATCTAGCAAATTTTACAATCTTTTCTTAAATAAAAAAGTTATCTGTAATTTTTAAAAAATTTAAAGTGGATCTATTTTAATTTTTTTGAAAAATTAATGTGGATCTTTTTTGACTTTGTGAGAAACCATGATTTCAACTAATAAATCTATTTTAAATTTCTTAAAAAATACAAATAACTTTTTTATTTGCTAGAAATTAAAACAGATATAATAAAATTTGTAGAGTAATAAAAAAAAAAGTATTTACTCCTTAAATTTCGGTTCCAAAACATCATTTCTTAACTGGCCTTGGTAAATTATTCCCATAATGTTCCAAGGGCAACGCTGTCATTTCAAAAACTCATCTATTCCTAGCCGCTGAGTCATTCCACCAAGCTTTTCACAGATACAACACAACATTTATTCTGCTGAAAATCTAAGACGAACGAAGCTCTCTCTCTCTCTACTCTTCCTCCATTTTCAAGCGTATTTGACTCTCTTTCTTTGAGATCCCAGGGTCCCCATTTGTAAATACTTCTCTATTCACCTCTCATATAAAAATTTGTATATATATATTACACCCATTTCAATAGAAAGAAAGAAAAAACTGAATCTTTGAATTCTTCAATCAATTTCCATTTCCCTTTTTTTTTTTTTAATTCTCTGTACAGGCATAGAGAAATACTTTTCCTCAGTTTGAGGAAAATCACTTTCTCTTCTTTCTTTTCTGAAATTGTGAGCCACCATAACAGTAACTGGGTCGCTGAAAATCATTGGGGCTTGCATCAATTTCTTCTGGGTTTCTGAAAAAAAAGAAAATAACAAAATTCTAATTGTTGGGTTATTCTTATTTTTTCTCTGATTTCCAAAGAAGGTTAAAAAATTGTAACTTTACAGTATATTTGTGGTTGGGATCGGAAACCCTAATTCCCAAAAGGCGAAGTGAAGAAGAAGCAGAAGCAAAAGCAAAAGGCAGAAGCTTTGTTTCATGGCGGTTTCTACTATAGCTTTATACGCGAGTCCACCGAGTAGTGTGTGTTCCACGCCGCACCCTTGCCAGATCAATGCGCACGCTACCTACGACTTCGAATTGGGGTCTCGATCTTCGTCGCCGGCATCGACAACGGCGGCGTCTACGTCTCAGAAGCCGGTAATGGGTGGACTTTCGTGCCTGTTCTCCTCGCCGGCGACGGTGGCGGTGAAGCACGTTCCGTTGTCGTCGAGCTTTTCCGGCAGCGTAGAGGAAGATGAATTGAAGGAACTAAGTAGCTCCTTCTCGTACTCGCCGAGCAAGTTTGGTGGGTCTTCTTGGAAGAGAGATCAAAGCCCAGTTTCGGTTTTTCATGGCCCAGTTTCGTGTAGCAGCTGCAGCACCGTTCGTTCTGTTAGAAGTTCCACCCCTGTGAGGATTGGATGTGAAAGGGGTGGGACTAATGGCTTTTTTGATGGATTTGTGAGGAATGCTTTGGGTTCTTGTTTGGATTATGATTCTCCAAGTTTCAAGGTTCATCGTGGTGGTGACTTAGATGTGGGTGCTTCTTCTTCTGTTCTGGTTGATGAGTTGACCTTCAATTTGGAGGATACTTTTGTGGATGGTGACTTTGAGCCCTATGCTAAGAAGTTGTTGCTTGGTGCCCAGTTGAGGCACAAGATCTTCTGTGAAGAGTTCGTTATCAAGGCTTTTTGTGAAGCCGAGAAAGCTCACAGAGGGCAGGTAAATAAAACTTTTTGTGTGTGTGGAGTTGTAATATGTGATTTGTGGTTTTGATGTTTTGTTGAGTTCAGAGGTTTTGATGAATCGTTTGTTTTCTGTAGATGCGAGCTAGTGGGGATCCTTATTTGCAGCATTGTCTGGAAACTGCTGTGCTACTGGCTTTGATCGGTGCCAATTCCACTGTAGTTGCTGCGGGGCTTTTGCATGACACTCTTGATGATGCTTATCTGACTTACGATTATATTTTTGGGACATTTGGCGCTGGAGTTGCTGATTTAGTTGAAGGGGTGAGGAACATGTCTGTTGTTAATACGTAAATGCATGTATTTCAAGATAATGATATTTGATGTTTTTAATCTGCATGTTCATAATTAGCATTTGAATCAACCCCTACTATTGAAATTTTTACTAAGTTTTTCACTTCAGATCTAGTTTTAGTGGCAATGGCTCAGTTTCATTTGGCTGCTGGAACTTTATCAAAATATAATAAACATTGGCCTTGGAGAAAATATAGGTGTGTGTGTGGTTTGGTTGAATCCTAAATTGGTTTCGGATGAGATTTGCTGTTAAAAGTGGTTTGGATGGATGTTGAGTTCGGTTCAACTCACCATAATGGTCTGTGGCCATGATTGATCTGTTGTGATTCAGTTGATGGGGTGGTTTTGATGCTGCCCCAACTTGTAAGTGGTAACATAGTAACAATCATCCTCTGCATAGCCATAATTTGAAGGGAGAGTTGTTTTCTTTTTATCTTAAAGCATAACCATGGTAGTCTTGTGATTGCCATGTAAAAATGTAAAATGCAAGAAAAATATTTTGTTAGAACTAGCTTTCTGGATCTGTAGGTTCTTAATTTAATTATTTCAAGTCTTCGACCAGATATTGGGTGTATATCTTATATCAGCTTTCTCTTCATGTCTCTTTTGCTTCATTGAGTGGTTTCTGGAAGTTGTCGTCGTCTTGTCTCTGAATTAAGAACAGTTTTTCTGTATTGATGTTCTGCAAGCCTGATGTATATAATTAGTAATATAGGGAGGCAATTGGAGGCAATGACAATACAAGTCCAATAGGTTTGTGCGGTAATTTATTCACTTAGCTTTCTATGATATCTTTAATACTTTGTTATCTGTTGTACTTTTGTTAAGTGCTGAATTTAATTTTTATTTAATTTTTTATGATGCTTGTGGTTTGATTTTTTTAGGTTTCTATACAGTAACACCCATTAATGTCTTGGATTTTTTGATGTTTTTGTAGTTTGGTCTTTAAAGATTCTAAATATTCTTTGTGGCATTTTAGGTTTCTAAACTGAGTCACTTAAGCAAGTTGGCTCGAGAAAATAATACAGCTTGCAAGTCTGTTGAAGCAGACCGCCTGCATACCATGTTCCTTGCCATGGCAGATGCAAGAGCTGTTCTCATTAAATTGGCAGATCGATTGCATAATATGATGACACTAGATGCATTGCCAGTGGCCAAGCAACAGAGGTTTGCAAAGGAGACTTTGGAGATTTTTGCACCTCTGGCCAATCGGTTAGGAATATCTAGTTGGAAGGAACAATTGGAAAATTTGTGTTTTAAGCACCTCAACCCAGACCAGCACGAGGAGCTTTCGTCAAAGCTTGTGGAGTCATATGATGATGCAATGATTACTTCTGCAGTAGAGAGATTAGAGCAAGCACTTAAAGATGAAGGCATATCTTATCATGTCATTTCTGGGCGACATAAGAGCTTGTATAGCATTTATTGCAAAATGTTGAAGTATGTTATACCTTTCCCTCTTTTTTAATTAACTGCTGGATCTTTAACTTCTGTATGTTATACGTTTGGTTATCTGCCATTTGGAAAATTGAAAGAAAATGAAAAGAAGCAAATTGGGGAGAAAAGATTGTTTAAAGAGTATTAATTTACACAAAATTGGGTGTCAGAGTAAAGAGAGTTGCTGTTACTGCGTAAACTCATGTAAACATCAGAATTGCTGTTTGAGTTGTTTTAGAAGAGAGTATGAGACAAGTTCATGACTATATTTATGGTGGTACTTTTATGAAACTGCTAATGAAGCAAATTGGTTTAGAACTAATGATAAAAGTAGAGCATCATTTTTACCTCGTGCTGAACTGTTTTGTTTCTACGCTATCAATTCTCAATTTTTCATTCATTTGTCGATATATTTGTAGGAAGAAGCTAACCATAGATGATATCCATGACATTTATGGGCTGCGCTTGATTGTTGACAAGGAGGAAGACTGTTATAAAGCTTTGAAAGTTGTTCATCAGTTATGGTCTGTGGTACAAGGAAAGCTTAAAGATTACATACGTTGCCCCAAGTTCAATGGGTATGTTGTAGCTCACTAATGGTGGTGTACACTTGCAAATGGAAATCTCTATATCATCTGATTTTGATTTTGTAATTCATAGGTATCAATCTCTGCATACTGTGGTGATGGGTGAAGGCAAGGTTCCCCTTGAAGTGCAAATTCGGACAAAAGATATGCATTTACAAGCAGAATTTGGATTTGCTGCTCATTGGAGATATAAGGAAGATGACTGTCAGCATTCTTCATTTGTGCTTCAGATGGTTGAGTGGGCTCGATGGGTTGTCACCTGGCAGTGTGAGGCAATGAGTAAAGATTGTTCATCTGTAGGATATGCTGATTCAATCAAGCCACCATGCAAATTCCCTTCCCATTCGGATGATTGCCCATATTCTTGTAAGCCTGATTGTGTTCAGGATGGGCCTGTGTTCGTTATCATGATCGAGAATGATAAGGTTTGTGCTGAAAAAATTATTCATTTATTATTTTAATTTCATGTTTTCTGTGCCTTCAACCCATGGTTTGAGTCTTAAAACACGAGTAAGAATTAAATTTCAACAGAGTTATTTGACAAGTCTTAATTCAATTTCTTGAACTAACCGGATACAGTGGCTGTTTCCCAGATGCTTTGTGGTTCTTATAGACTGATTAAACATAAAAAACCTGTGATTGTGTTAAATGACTTTGGGGTTGATGTTTTTATTGACTGTGACATTCAATGGTCTAATGTTGATTGTGTTAAAATTGTGGAAAACTAAAACCAGCATTGCCATTATCTGCAATCAAACTTTAGAAACTTAGTGATCTTATCACATTTGAACTTATGTATTGACTGTGATTTTGTGTCTGAATGGATGTGCAGATGTCTGTTCAAGAATTTTGTGCAAACTCAACAGTAATGGATTTGTTGGAAAGAGCTGGGCGAGCAAGCTCTAGGTTGACAACATATAGGTTCCCACTGAAGGAAGAATTGAGGCCAAGGCTGAATCATTTGCCTGTAAGTGACCCCAATTGCAAGTTGAAGATGGGAGATGTTGTTGAGCTCACACCAGCCATACCTGACAAGTCTCTAACAGAATATAGGGAAGAAATCCAGCGTATGTATGATCGAGGGCTATCTGTATCAAGCAAGGGAACTGCTGCTAGCAACATGGTTGGCTCAAGAAGTTGACCCTTGCTTTGGCTTTCACATCTATTCCAATTTCCAACATATTATTTAGTGACAGTTATTTATGTATATAGATATATTTGTACAGAACTACAACTATATGTTACTACTATCAACTTGCTAACTTGATTCAATTATGTGCTGAATGATTGATTTATGTAGTTGGTTCAATTATCCTGGTAACTTAATTGCACCCCACTTTGCTTCAAGAATTCAGGATTTATTTTTTTGAGTCTTGCCTTTATCAAATAGTTTTATCTTTATATTGCGAGATGCCCCATGAGGGACGAATTTATCAAACATTAGGCGTCTCTTACACTGTGTTCTATGTTAGTATAAAGGTATGTAATTCCCAGGTACATGTTACCAAAAAGCAATAAAGTCCGTTAGATTTCTTGTTAGAGCAAGGTTATAATTACAATTTTTTTTTCTTACAATCTCTTACAATCATATTTTATCACCATTGATTTTCGTTAATCAACGATTATTATTTTAGCAAATTAAACTTATTAATTAATTATTAATTCACAATAAATGATAACCGTTGATTGACAGAAATTAACAGTGATAAGATATGGTTGTAAGAGGTTGTAAAAAAAAAAGTTGTAAGTATAACCTTTCACTTCTTGTTATATAACAATATACTCAAACTACTCTCTTGATAACTTATTCACAGGAAAACAGAAGGCATCAATCGTCATATATTAAATTATAGATTTTATGTTTGTTAAGTTACATAATATAATTTCACTTTCTTATACATACATCAGAAAAGTGAGGTTCATATTTATTATTTCACTTTGTCTTTCCCTTTTGTTGTGTGTGTAAGAAAGTAAAGTTATCTTATATAAGATATCAAACATAAAATCTTTAAATTATTCGTGTGTCCTTTCTCTTTTGTAATGGAAAAGTCAAAAGTTATAAAACAAAATACATTGTAGATAGCGTGCAGAGAGCGGCAGCTATGATTGTTTTTGCGTAATGCAAGGAAAGACAAGTTGCAAACACACATGTATAACAGTTCAGTTAGTTTTAAATATTTCTTTCGTATTCAATCCAAATTCGACCAGTTACAATTGCAATTATATACATAACTCAAGGTTTTCTTTAGACAAATTGAACAGGATCCTTTTAGTTAAGCTACTAAAAAAATTTCATCTCGATAGAAGTAACTAAAAATTGAGGAAAATTTCAAAATTTGCAAGGCTCCTAACCTACTATAGATATAGCTGAGGTGTAGATCGTGTTCGAAAGGATTTTAAAACATAACACATATTCTGACCATTTCTAACGTTACACTACAAAATGAGCCGAGTCAGAACTATTTCATTGCAATCTCAGACCCAAGTGGACTTTACATAGAATAAGCTAAACAAGAAACAAGTTCATATATTTTTATCACTAGTACACAAATCACATTGGAGGTAGACTAAAGTAAGCACTAGTGGCAAATGGGGACTTAAAATAAAACACACTTTTTATTTTTATTTTTGAAGATAAATAAAACACTCTTTTGAGGGGATAGTGTTGCATCTCTATCTTTTCTTCGTGAGAGGGAATTGGGACTCCCAGCTTCTTCATCCTATGTTTCTTCTATAGGTTCGGCAGACCTTTTGATTAGAATTGCAAGATGGTAGTCGGGACTTATTAATGTGTCCTAAATTGATATTTTCTCCTTGTTAATTAAGCCATTTAACCTATTTGATAATAAATTAAACTATTAGTTTAACCTACTCCACGAGTTAATACATGTAATTTGAATGAATGAAATGACAAATGATTATTATAGTTGATTATTAAATTGCTTCTAAAGGATACCGGATGCTCCTCAGCCAAAATCCCATTACCACATTGGCTAAGAACAATTATTTTATTGTTGGCATCTATGTTAAAAAAATGAAAGACAAATTAATGAGAGTGGGAGCTAACTTAAACTTTTTAAGAAGAAGAAGAAGAAGAAGAAGACATGTTCAACTTAATGATCCAATTGCACATCTATTAATGTACTCCAAGCCCATAAAAGCATGATAAGTATCCAACACATACAAGCTAGCATATGCACGTGCACATTAGTTGGAGTTATTTGATAAGTTGATTGATGGCTTGACACAAGAAATAATATGGTTTTACGGTGTGTGCTTGAGTGTTTGATATGGTTAGAAATAATAACCAACCCTTTTTAGGCCTACTATTATCAGTCTAAGCTTTTGAGATATCAAAATGCCGAAATGAGAACTTCAAAATTGCTAAGCATAACTCTTTGTTTCTCATATTATTACATAAATAAACATAATACATAAATGGCAACATATAGAAACCAAAATTAAGAGACAGAGAGATGGAGAGAGTCATCTATGGCTCTATCTCCAAAAGAACTCTTGAACTGATGCTTGCCAATAAAGAACAAGCATAAGCATAACCAAAACCCCAGCTAACCCCCAAGTTGAACTTCCAATTCTAAGCACCGACGAAGGCTCAGGAGATGGTAGCAGTGAAACTCTTGGAGATGACACAGAAGAGGTTGTTCTGATAGCAATTATAAGTCCAGCAAGAACCATAGGCAGAACAAAACCAGAGCTCCATTTTGATTCATAATACCTCCTGGTATCACTCTTTGAATTACAATATAAGGGAGATAACACCGCTGCTGAGGCTAGAGCCAACACCATTGCCAGTGATCTTTGGGAGGAACCATGGCTTGAGGAGGAAGCATAGGTGGTAGCCATTGATGGGAATGGAGGTAAAGAAAGTGTTTTGTATTTTCTTGCAGAATAAGCCAACTTGATGATCAAGATTTTAACTTGAGGCAAGAGTTTATATTGTGGGGAAAAGATGGGTAATGGGTGATGGGCTAAGGAATCTAGATGGAATTGGGTGGAAGAAGTGATAGAAACATAGCCGGCCAAAAAGTGAAAAGCATTCTTAAGGAATGGACGCAAATGATAAAAAGGTCAAAAGTATGGTAGAAAAAGAAGATTCAGGGTATGGAAGCAAGGTATATTTCCTTACTTTTTTGGCGTGTTCATATTGTGATTATTTTGTATTCAGCAACTCTAGCTGTAATCAGTTAATCACTCATCCTTTTTTCTTTTTTTTTGCTTTAAGATTAGCTGTAAAACAAGGTGGCCTGTAAATCAGAAAGAAACATTAGTTAATTTATCATCGGATCAGGCTTAATCAAACAGCTCCTATTGTTATTAATCTCAAAGAAAGAGAAAGAAAACAGCTTAAAGACAAATGCTCACAAAGCCCGGGAAAAGAAAAAGTTGAAACTTTTTGGATGTGGGACCTCTTTCCTAGCCTCACCATTATTTATCAGATTTGTTCCGTTTGGGTTAGACAGTGAATATTCACTACTTAGTTGATAGATACATGTGCTCAGGAATATTTATAAGAGAGATATTATATGGGCATATACCCTATATACCAATCACTGTGATTAACAATGGACATATAGCCAAAGCGTGAGTGTGCTCAATGATGGCATCAATAGAGAATAGGGAATTCATAGTGTATACATGAGAGGTTTAACCCTTTGTTTATAGAAAGAGTTATTTATAAGAGTAGATTCCTGACATGGTTGTGATTATTGGAGAATAGAATAAGTTGTTTTATCCTTTATCCCTTGTGGTTATTCTTATCTCTTTTTTGGTCTACCACTTGTTGTTATGTTGTTAAGATATAAGTCCATAGAATGAGTCCATAACAAAATTAAACCTAGATACTTTTAAATGTAAATTTAAATAAATAGATAATTTGTTTTGATTTTTCTTGTAATTGATTCGATTAGAATTTTGCTTAATAAAATAGGAAACGGATCCACCTACCACCAAAAAAGTTTATCACTCTTACAACCAATTTAATCACCGTTAATTTCCATCAATCTAACGGTCATAATTTATTGGAAATTAATAATTAATTAATAAATATGACACAATAAATATTAATTTCCAATAAATTATGACCGTTAGATTGACAGAAACCAAAGGTGTAAATTGATTATAAGAGTGATAAACTTTTTTAGTGGTAAGTATATCATGCTCTAATAAAATAATAGTAGACACAAGATGACATAAATAATCACATAGACAAAAAAGTTTCTCTAAACCCTTTATACTTATTAACCCACAAAAAAAAACCCTTTATACTTCCGAAACTGTTCAAAAATTTGTCTTAATTAAGAGCATAATATTGGAAATCATACTTTATTATATATCATATATAAATGGAAAAAAATGTTTATCCTTTTAAATGACACAACTTATATCCTTTCACTTTCACAAAGAGGTAGGACCACACCTTTATTTTTTTTGTCAACTCTCTCTCCTCCTTTATCTATCTCTTTCTCTCTCTTAAAATAACACAACTTTATATCATTTAAAATGACACACACTTTTTTTTATATAAATAGACACCAATTCACTAATCCATTTCAACGGGTGAAAATGGTTACCTCCAGTTGGGTGGGGTCAATCTGAAATGGGCAAGCTTGAATTTCAAACTTAACCATGAGTGAGGCCTGTGGCTTATTTGGGCCGGAAAAGTGATAGTTATTGTCAATCACCATATCTCGAATATAGAGTATAATTACAAATCTATACATTGAATATCATATTTTTATAACTTAATAGCTAAATAGCGAGTTTTCATGTAATAAAAATGAAATAGTTGGTTAGTGATAAGAAAAATGAACTAGTTGACAAAAGTGGTAGGGATTCGAAACTCAAGATATACCTTGTGGTTAGAGTTAAGTTGAAACTTAAGTGGAGATTAATCACACACAATTAGCTATGAAGAGACAAACATACAAGTCGTTCAAAAGCCACCACAATAAGTGAAGGGAAGAGGTATTAGCTACCTTGTTTAACATACAAATAAACAAGTCAAGCAAAACGTTTGATTTGTGTATAAATCTTCTATATGCTTCTCAAAGGTTCTGTCCGAGAAAAAAACAAAATATCATATAAAAATTAAAACGAAAAATAAAATATTTGACCAGAAGTTTCCTCTTTCTATGCACCTCAAGCGACTTAATTATTTATGGATTTTTTTTTTTTATATAATGTGGTTACCTTATTGTTAGTACATATTAAGAAAGTGATAACACTGCAAATAAAATATAAAAGCTGGAACAGAAAACCGGATTCACCTGCTCTTGTTGGTGTACTTTCAGCCTGACTAAATGAGAAATATTTTTGAAACATGAAGAAAAATATAAAAACACAATAAGAGTTAAAATAAAATAAAAATTTGATGTTTGTTATTTTAAATGACATAATTGGTGTCATTTTAGGATAGAGATAAATACAAGGAATGAAAATCATGAAAAAAAGTGGATGATTTTTTTTAATTTAAATTTTAAATAAAAAATATTATTTTGTATCTATTTGCTTTATTAAAATCACATAACTTTCATCTGCTATTCTTGGTGTATTTTCAGCCTGACTAAATGAGAAATATTAAGAAAAATATAAAAAAACAATTAGAGTTAAAATAAATAAAAAGAGAATTTGATGTTTATCATTTTAAATGACATAAGTTATGTTATTTTAGCAGAGATAAATATAAGGAATAAAAATTATAAGAGAGAAAATGAATGATTTTTTTAATTTAAATTTTAAATAAAAAAATATTATTTTGTATCTATTTATTTCTTAAGATGACATAATTTTATATCATTTTAAATGATAAATAGTTTTTCCTACAAAAATTACCCATTAATAATAAAAAAATTTCGGCGGTCGAGAGTATTTAACCGATAAACGACGAGGTAAAGAACCTTCATGCTCTTACCAAAAAAAAAAAAAAAAAAAAGAACCTTCATGTTTCTGCAAATGCAATAGCAAATAGTAGTGAGCGATGAACATGAAGGAATGATCAATGTCCTCTCAGGAGCAAGCCCTAGTTTCCCTTTTGTCCCAGCTAGCCCTATCCTGCGACGGCGCTGTCTTGGGGTTGGCCTTGGCTTACGCCGCCGTTCGCTCCCTCCTCAAATTCACCGCCACCTCCGCCGCCCTCGGCAAGCTCCGCCACGCCCCTTCACTCTCCGTCTCCGACCTCCGATCGCTCCTCTCCGAGAGCACCTCCGACGCTGACGGAAATTCCGACGACGGAACAATCGTAATTGTCCGTGGCACCGTCGACGCCAAGTCTGCCGTCGACGGCAGCTGGAAAACCTTGAGGCCCGGCGTCTTGGTTTCTCGCGAGTCCGGCGACAAAGGTGTCGTCCTTCAAAGAACTCAAACGGTAACCCTCCTTTTTGTTTTCTTGTTCTTAATTTTCTTTTTGTGCTCAGTTGTTGGATTTTGTTTTTGATTTGAAATTCAGCAGTTTTAGGGTCTGATTCGAAGTTTGGGGATGGGTGTTGAATGGTTATTTGAGTATGGGAAAATTAGTGAATGTTTAATTTGTAGTTAGGTCTGTATGTATTGTTTAAATGTGAAAAAATGGAAAATTTGGAATGATAATCGCTTCACACTTGATTCAAAACAAGAATATTAGAAGGTGGAAAGTAAAACGGTACTCATTTTCACTCTGCTCCACAACTTTGGGTTGAAAATCATTTTCACTTGGTCCTTTACTTTTCCAACTTCTCTCTTTCCAACTAATCAACCAAGGCCCTTAATCGACAAGCAGATCAAACCCTGCCTCATTGATTGATTTGACTTTTCACTGTGCACTGTGTAACGAACCTTCGCTGGTTGAGTTTTTTTGTTTGATAGCTGCACTAATATCCAGATTGTTACCTGTAGATTCCCCCCCTTTTGTCATATGGATAGGTTTATTTTTATGTTTTGGCCGTAAGGTGTTATTGTTATGTGTGCTCTTATTCTTGAGTAGCTACGGTGGTCTGGAAGAAAATGGGCAGGGGATCAGCATTGTAGAAATTTAAATAATTAATTTGTTTAAAGATGATATTTGGCTACTATTTGGCATTTAAAATAAATAAATTTCATGTTTTAGAGAGATGACATTTTGTCATTGTCTAAGAGAGTATAAATTTGATTCCAACTGAAATTTCATGCAATTTAGATATAGTTGTAAATTTGAAGACTAATTTGTTTACTTTTTTTTTGGTTGATTGTCATGAAGTGTATATACAATGAATGGAAGGGCTTATTTGGATGGACTTCTGATCTCCGAGCCATATTTGCAAGATCTTGGAGAAAACAAGAGTCCACGTCCTTAAGAAAGGTAATGCATAACTTTGTTACATATTGAGGATCATAATGTATCAAAAAATTTCTGGTATAATCTTATCAAGGTGTTTGAGTTTCACATGATAAAATTTGTGACTGGTTTATATAATGGAGCAGTATAAAGAGTCACCATATTTGACAACAATGAAGAAGTCTTTGTCCTATCCTGTGCAGTACATATGGGGGCATGCTCGGATATCCTAGTACAATTTTATTTTTTATTTTTTTTAATATTTGTAACTAATTAGTGGTTTTAATAATATAACATGCAAACTCTCGTTACATAAAATTGTGCACCATGGATGTGCTTCAGTTGAGCATAACCCAGGTTAGTGAAAACAGCCCAATATTTTGAACATTAAGGTTGAGGGACTTGATGATATGTTTCTTGTAGATAGTTGTCTGTTTAAATATGCACTGTCTTTGGTGATTTTTATTTAATCACTTAACTATATCTTGCTTTGTTATGATTATTTGAGAGGATTGTGGAGTGTCTTTTGGTTTCTATTTCCTTTCTTTTCTTTTCATAATTATTTGTTTTAGAGATCCATTAGATGGGAATTATCATATTTATTGGAATTATAGGGATTTAGGTAGAGAAGAAGGAAAATAGAGGTCAAACTCTGAATAATAGAATATGTTATTGATCTGTGATGTGAAATGATGTGTTACAACATAAAAACTATTAATAAGCAGTGATTCTTATTTATACCAGCACTAGATTTCTAATCTTAATCAAAGAAGGAAAAAAATAGCAAATATTATGAAAGATTGAAATCATTCCTAAATGATCATCTAAGATACTTTAAAATATTTTAAGATATGATGATATTTTGAAATATTTTCTAGATATTCTGACAATATTTTTGTATTAGGTTCCTTTTGTTCTCATTGATGTAGGATGGCGGACGAATCCTGAATATGTTGTTGTCAACTTGGATGGCTCAAGACATCCATTGCCGTTGACAACAGTTTATCATAAATTGCAACCCATAAATGCTTCTCCTTATACTTTCTTGCAAGCACTTTTTGGGCATGAATATCCGGTGAGTTAATATTCTCAATGCTTTTCTGCAGTGGATAGCATAAATATGAGTTATGCTCAAGCTCAATACTTGTTTGACTTCACTCTTCAATTAATCTATTTTATAGTTTAGCATCTGTGGCTCTGTCTCTTGTGAGTTTGTTGATCTTTGGTATATCATATTTGCTGAAATGTTAACATATGTTTCTTTTCTGCAGGTTGGACTGCTAGATGAAGAGAAAATTCTTCCTTTGGGGAAGGATATCAGTGCCGTTGGCCATTGCAGTTTAAGAAATGGAATTGCTGAAATTAGATCATGCAAAGATCTACCATATTTTCTGTAAGTTTGTTTTCCTTCAAATAAACTATTATATTGTTGATCATGGAAAAGTCCATACTGTTTGGTATTGTTATACGCTGGGTAGTTGTGGGGATTGTTTAATTCTAAGATAGTAGGATACTATGGGAAATGCCATTTTACTGGTAGAATGATCATGGACGTTTTTATTTGTTTCTAATTATTAATTTATTTACATTTGTGACCATGAAAGGTGAGTTTGGATCGATCAATGTGTGATTTTGATCAAACTTGTATTTTTTTTTTCTTGTCAACAAGTAGGGATGCCTTCTGTGAAGTATAAATTGCTTTTGATAAAGGATCCTTTGACAAGTCTACTATTTTTTTTCCTTAATTTTTTTTTTCGTGGTACATTAATAAGACTAAAGTGCATACTTGTGTTAGCTTATAATAATAGCATTTTTTTGGCAACTTACTGAAAAGAAAGGAACTATTTTACATAATTTAAGCATTTCCAAACAAGCACTGACACTGAAAATTTTGTGTGTTTTTTCCCCTGCTAGTTGCATATTTGAGTGCAATTATGCAAGGAGTGGTAATTACACTTATGCAAGGGTAAGGCTGTGTATAAGAATTGTCTTCACCTCACTCTCGCTAGTTGGGGTTTAATGGGGAGTGGTTTAGTTGCATATTTGAGTGCATGTAACTCAATAAATATTAACAAATGATTCAGCCTGAGGAAGTGCTGCTTACGACAATTGTCATGTCTTTTGTAGGTCTGAGTTGAGTAAAGATCAGATGGTTGTAGAACTTTCCTTCAAAACAAAAATACTTTTTTGGGGTGGTGTTCTACTTGGTTCAATGTCAGTTGGGATCCTTGGCTATGCAGTTGTGAGGTATGTTGGTTTCATTTACCAGTCCATTTATTCTTATTGTATGCATGATGTGTTGGATTTCGTTAATCATGGCTGGCTTTAGAATTTGTTGAGAATATGTAATAGAAGTGAATTTTCTTGGTTTGATAAACTTTGTCATGATGATTATGTGTAATGGAGAAGTTGTTTAATTTAGTTGGTTTGCTAATAATCAGAAAAGCAATGATTTGGAATAATATTGATAATTTTGGGTAGCTAGAGTTGATTTGAAGAAACTAAATTTTGCCCGTTTTCAGGAACTGGAATAAGTGGATGCAGTGGAAGCAACAGAGACAGCTCCAGCAACAAAGGCAGGCGGTCAGTGGTGATGTTGATCCTCAGGTGGATGACGTGGTTGAAGATGTTCCAGACGGACAATTATGTGTTATATGCCTGATGAGGAGAAGGCGTTCTGTTTTCATTCCTTGTGGGCATCTTGTATGTTGCCAAGGGTGTGCCATATCTGTTGAACGTGAAGTGGCACCCAAGTGTCCAGTTTGTCGTCAGGAGATTCGAGATTCAGTGCGGATTTTTGAATCTTGAATAGACACGGGCTGATTGTTCTGTTCACTGTGGCAGGAGGGTTTCATGCCTGATGAGGTGCAGAATGATTGCTTTTTTGCTGCCAGCACATGAATTTATCTGGTGTAGATATTTGAATATGGCTTAAAAAGGTTGATCGAGGTTAATTCGTTTTGTGGAACCTCTTAGGATTTTCAATCTTCCTAGTTGCGTTGTGCATACATATTTAATTTTACCTAACATATGCTACTAGACTGTATATCTTTCTTGTTACTTTTATTACTCTCAGATTAAAGATATGTGTAACCTCACGAGTACACTTTGTAAATGCTACTTAAAAATTCAGCAGATGTTTTGCGGTGATAACCGGGTATGCAGTCAGCCTGTGTTTGTTTGGTGAGATTCGTGATCATTTGTTGGCGAATATTGGAATTTTGTGAGACGGTACTAAATACTGATTATGAAAACATGATATTTAATTTAGTAGCTCTGCCTTAAGGGAACATGTCTAAAGGTTGACTGATATATGTCAGTTTTTAATTCAAGCGGGTGCAGAATTAGCAGTTGACATATATTTATCATCTGTGTAGATTAGCAAGTGGAGTATTGGACCGGCCTTTTAATCTTTAGTGCCATATTTGTTAGCTTATGACGTGATGGCATGTTTGGATTAGTTTATCCTGAGAAGATAATCACTTATATTGAGAAATTTGTTATGGTTAACTAAACATGCCACTCAGTGCAGATTTGTGACTGAAAGACAACAGATGCTCAACTATGAAACAGTGCTATCTTCTATATAGCTATCAATCATTACAAAGCACACAATAGAAGAAACAATTTGTAGCCCTCCTTATCTTACAAATAGTTTCGTAGTAAGAATTTGACGTAGAGAAGTAGTACAATGTGGTAAAATTTAGCAACAAAAGAATAATAAAAACTCCAAATACCCGTGCTGCCTTTTTCCTCTGAAACATTTTGACTATTATAAGCAGCAATCGACAATCCCTGACTATCTTATTGGATATAAACTTGTACTGATTGCTAAATTAAGGTTCACCGTGATCGATCCTGTAACTTTGTGCACCAAAATAGGCAATCTGCAGAACTTAAAGTTTAGATGTCAATGTGGAACTTGTCTTACCCTGGTCGTTCCCATCCAGCTTCCACAAAGAACAGAAAGAAACAGGTTGTCCCTTCCACCATAATCCCACACTTGAATTGTTCTCTTCTACTTTCATCTCCCAATTATTATCGTACTTCCTTAACAAAGCTCGACCTCCATCGATGGCATCCTCTCCAAATATTTCCCCAACAAACCCTGCTTCTTTCATTCTCTCACACCATTTTTCTTTCCCTTCATTCATCTCACGCTGGTTTGTCAATGCTTTTGCAGCTTCACCTTCCATCACCCTCCTTTCATCACTCTCACGACCCTTGAAAGCTGAGCTTGTGGAATCCAAAAACCTCCATAAGTACTCCACTCTCCGAGAGAACCCAGTGGCGAAATTCCCACAACTACTGCAGCAACATTCCATGTTGTTCTCACTTAATATCACCCCTTTCGGCTCAATGTTCCTCAAAACCTTCAGAAACTCACTCCTTTCATCAGGAGTGTTGTGATTCAAGTGATGCAGCCTAAACTGTGCACAGACAATAAAAGTTTCATCCGGGGAAGTGCCAATACTTTGAGAATTTAATGTCTCTAATGGATGATTCTCAAGCCTGTTTATCTGCAAATTGACATTCATGGACTGAGCAAAACCAAGGAGTCTAGAAGAGAAGTTATCACCAGGTGGACCTATTGAAAATGGGGTCTCCATATTGTGGTCATTTTCAGTGGAGGAAGAAGCAGTAACCACTGTGAGACGAACCAGTGGAGGAGGTCCACCAGGTCGACGACTCAAGGCCTCTAGAAATGTTGGCCATTGCACACCATGAGAGACACCAATGTCAAGGATGTGAAGGGTACGTGAATTATCTGGCTCTTCTGAAAGAACTTGAAGGATGGAAGCATTTGCTATGTTATTAGGAAAAGAAAACCAAGGGCTAACCTCATAGAACTTCAGTAGTGACTTTTGAAAGAACCTTGGTTCTGTAGATGCAAAAGTTATAGGCCCTGAAGAAGTAGATGATGGAGTAGAAGATAGATGGTGTGTCAGTGCTCGAAGACCATGTGCTGCAAGCCTGTGGTTTGCATCACCAGTAGGTGATGCTAGCTCGTGGAGAACATATAAGAGGTGTTGCACACGGTTCAGGTTTCCACCAGTTATGGCTATAGCACAAGGGTTGAGCAATTGCTCTGCCCACCTACCCTCCTTGTTGTTTCCATTGTTACAGTTATTTCCGTTGGCCTTGGATGCACCTTTCTTGTTCCCACCAGATTTTCTAACTGTTGTCCCTTCAACAACAGCATCTCCATTGTCAGCTTCATTCATTGGACGGCTCTTGATTCTCTTGTGCTTGTGGTTTTGTGATGGTTTGAGACTTGGTTCATCAGCGGCATTTCTTTTCTTGGGCAAATCAGAAAGTGTTGGGGTATTAGAATCATAAGGCTCAAGGGGTGTTGTGCTGGTTGTACTAGCAGCAGCAGCAGCAGCAATTGTGTTGTTGTTGTTGTTGTTGTTGATAGCTTTAGAGGAATCTGTATTGGCATCGGTTTGGTACAGGCTTATGTCTTGGCCTTGATCCCATAATTGATAATCATGGATGTCACTTGAGTCATAAGGATTATCCAAGAATGATGGAAAGAAAGAGACAGAACCTTCAATCCAGTCTAGAATGTGATCTGATGTTGGGTTTGGTTCCATGGTCATTGTAATGGAAGAAACTTTTGAGATATTGAAGAAAGATTGAAGGGTTTGAAAGGGCTTAGTAGTGTTGGAACATTGACCAAACAGGAGGAGGATAGAACCATAGACTTTCAGTTCATTAGTCTTTCCAGAATATTTTAAATAAAAGCATGGTGTAGAGATATATATTTCCTACTAGTGACAAATGAGAGAATTTTCTAATTGTTTGTGTGCTGTTCATTTGGAGTATGTGGTGTTTTATTAAGGTTTTTATAGTTTGGCATAGGCAACTAGGAGACGATTATGTCTCTTCTTTATGTTGGGTGGTTAACTTGTTCCTTTTGTATTATATTGGCCATTGAAATCCATTGCTAAAGATTGGAAAGATAAATTCCTCTGTAGGTTGAGGATTGTGATAGGTTCTTATAAAACTCTAGCCGGCACACACTACTTGACTAATTGAAAATTCTTGGAAAGTTTGTATCTGGAAAGGCTTACGCAACTTTTTGTGCTGTATTTTGTTGTTATTGGGTTTGTTTTTCTTCTTTTTTCATTATTTTCTTTAAGTATGCAAAAGGGTATATGAAAATAATTAAAATTATTTTAAAAAAAGTTCCCCAAGTTTTAAACTTCTTTCCCCCCCTGTTTTAAACTATTTATTCTTTAAAAGGGTGTAAGTAATGTCTTTTTAATATTTTTTACCCCTTTTTTTATAGACCCATCAATTTTCATGCTTTTTTTTTTTAAAAAAAAAAAAAACGGTTGATCCCACCACATAGATGTACCTGCAACAAGAGACAAAATATTTTCTATTCAGGAAATTAATAAGTCCCATAATAATATCACTAAATAATATTATAGCAGATACAATCATAAACTTTTTTTATACTGATAATGTATATAAACATTAGAGTAAAGACCCAAATTGGTCCCTGACAAAAAATGCGGTGGCCAAATTAGTCCCTAAGAAAAATAAACTCAAAAAAAAGTCCCCAACAATGTCAAACAGGTCCCACGTTAGTCCTTCTGTCAAATGAAAATTGACGGAGTGAGTGACGGTGCTGATGTGTCACGTTAAGTGACATGCGGTTGCCCACGTGGAGTGGTTGGACGACGTCGTTTGGTACAAACTCAGCCACTTGGACAACCCTTTTTTCAAAAACCCAATTTTGCCCCTCACCTAACCGTTGGACACTTTACCTGTTCCCCCTCTTCTAACATCGACACTTCATCGTTGAGAAGGAAGGAAGAAGACCGTCCATTAAACCCTGGTGCTTGCGTTTAGAATATTGTCAACTTTTTCCAGAATCGAAGGGAACCAGTGGAAGAAATAAGGGCCATATTTGGATACTTTGTGAGGCTGAGCATTCCGTTGAAAAATGTATGAGTATTTATAAGTTGAAACTTTTTTATATTGTTGTTTGTCATCCTTTGTTTAATGTTTGTGGTCCCCATGTCGTTCCCCTTTGTTTAATGCTTGCTTTTGTCTGCACGAAGTGGAACTTTGTGGTCCATGTTTCCATTTAGGGTTTTGTTTTAAAAGAAAGTAACAACCAGGTGGTGTGGTCCCTGCCATGGTTGACCCATTTAAAAATATTTAAAAACCCCATGTTAATCGTTGGAATACATGTCTGCATCCATAAAAAAGGTTGCTTTTTTATTGCTTTGTATTGTTTAACACTTTCAAAGTCTGTGGCTTCATGGTTTAATGATAGGATTGGTTTTTTGGTTTTGACAGATGTCCGAATACATAGTTATTGTCTATCATCACGGTGGTATGTTTATCAGAGATGAAGATGGAGTGATGACCTATATATATGGAAGGGTGGACTCATTGCCGGAGATGGACATTGACTACTGCAATATTCGTGACCTTGACACCCTGTTTAAGCAATATGGGTATGAAAAATACAAGAGGATGATGTGGCTACAGCCTGGGGTACCCGATTTGGATCTGGGGCTGAGACCTCTTAGTACAGATTCAGATGTGTGTGCTATGTGTGAGGCTGCTTTAGGGAATGGCAATGAGATACATGTCTACTTTGAGGGCTGCATCTCAATTCCCCAGTTTGCTTCACCTACACATGACAGTGAAGAGGATAATATCATTAATTCAGCACATAATGACGACCATGAAGAGGTTGATGATGGGGTCGGTTCACATGAAGGTTGTGCACAAGGTGATGTTGGGGTCAAAGAAAATGAAGACCATGCACAGGCTGCTGATGACCTTGGTGCACAAGGTGATGATGGGATGAATTTGGATGAAGACCATGCACGGGCTGCTGATGACCTGAATGCAGAAGGTGATGATGGGATCAATTCGGACCATGATGAAGACAGTGCAGATGATGGGTCTGAAGAAGACAATGCAGATGATGACCATGCTACCTCACACTCATATTCATATGAGAGTGCAGAGGATGAGGTTTACAAGCCTCCCCCACCTGGTGTTGAGGATAATTCAGAAGATGATGATGATGATATGTCAGTGCCAATTGTAGAGAAAGAAAGGCCTGCAAAATAGACCCCAAGGAGGAAGGCAGTCAAGAAGGATTCCCCAATACAAGACTCTGAATCTGAAGAAGTTGATGAAGAGGAAGCCATGATGTCATTTGAGGAAGAAGGATATACCTATCTGTCCGAGGAGTTGAGGACTCCTCCTTCAAGTGATGATGATGAGAATGTTAGACCTGTTATGCCAAATTTCAATGAGCAAGCTTCTTTTGGGCATGTCTATTTAGAACTTGGTATGGAGTTTATGAATCTGGACCAATTTAAGGGTGCAGTAAAAGATTACAATATCAGTCTTGGTAGGAACTTTGTATGGGTTAAGAATGACAAGGTGAGAGTAAGGGCCAAATGCAGTGTAGAAGACTGTGAATGGATGGTGTATTGTGCCTGGAACAGTAAGCAAAGCACATTCCAAGTTAAGACTTTTAAAGAGATACATGTTGTAGAGTCTTCAAGAATAAAAGGGCTACAAGAGATTGGGTGGCCAAGAAATTGGAGCAGAGAATAGTAACACAACCCAAGATGACAAGGACAGAGGCATTTGAGCACATGAAGGAGGAATACAATGTGCATTTGGATCTGAAGAAAGTAAGTAAGGCTTTGAAAAAAGCAAAGGGGACCATTGAAGGTTGTGAAAAGGAGCAATATGGAAGATTAAGGGAATATTTGTCAGAACTATTGAGGAGCAACCCTGGCTCCAGTTGCAAATTGCAAGTCACCCCCCAACCTATTCCACAAGCATTGCCAATATTTGACAGAATGTACATCTGCCTTGATGCTTGTAAGAAGGGATTCAAAGCTGGATGCAGGCCCTTAATTGGGTTGGATGGATGCTTTCTGAAGGGCTATTATGGAGGTCAATTATTGAGTGCTGTGGGTGAAGATGCAAACAAACAATTTTATGTGATTGCATATGCCGTGGTTGATAGTGAGACGAAGGACAATTGGAAGTGGTTTCTGACATTATTACAGGAAGATTTAGGGGACCATGCAGTATTTGGTTGGAACTTCATCTCGGATCAACAGAAGGTAAGGTTTTTTTGGTTGTGCTTCCAATTATTTATTTCATATAGAATTGTCATACTTAATTGTATTTTGGTTGTTAATGAATATTTTGCCATAGTCCTGTTGTTGATGAAGCTGTCCTTAGTAATTCTGTTTGATGATGTTAATGAATATTTTGGATTGCCAAGTTTGTCCTGTTTGTTCTGGTTGCTGTCATTGATGACCATGTAGTATTCTGTTTGCTGTCCTTCGTATGTGTGTTCTGGTATGTGTGTTATGTGTTGTTGCCATTGCCTTGCTGTTAATGAATATTTGCAAGCAAGCTTCTGCCATTGCCATTGCTGTCATTGATCTTATTGAATAATGTGGATTGTTTACAATTTTTTCATGTCTGTTGCTGCCAATGTCATGCAGTATCTGGTTTTGAAATCATGTGGTATGTGTGTTGTGTTTGCCTTATCTAATGATGTTTAATAACCTTAACTAGTCCCCCATAAATATCATCGAGGTCCATTTTAGTCCTTGTTATTTAACAGAAGGGACCATTTTGGTCCCTAACAATATTATCGGGGGTACAAATTGGTCCCTACAACAGTTCTTTTAATATGGTCACCTAAAAATCCAGCACTGTAAATTCCCCTTATACATGCTAATATTATTCATGCTGATTTGAGATTGTATTTTAATTTTTATTCACTGTCATTCACATACAGGGACTTGTCCCAGCCTTGAAGGAAATTATGCCAGGTTCACACCACAGGTTCTGTGTACAACATGTATGGAAGAACTTCATCAAGCAATGGAAGGATAAAGAGACAAGAGGAATTGTATGGGAATGTGCTAGATGCACCACTGTTCCCCAATTTGAGAAGGTCATGCAAAGGTTGAAGACTCTAAATGAACCAGCTTGGAAGTATCTTGACAATATACACCCTTCAGCATGGGTTAAAGCCTATTACAGTCACTGGCCTAAATGTGACAACATCACGAATAATATGGCTGAGGTGTGGAATGCAAAGATTGTCAATTATAGGGACAAACCTATAATGACATTGTGTGAGGAATTGAGGTGCTACATAATGCGAAGGATGGCAGCACACAAGAGGATTCTACAAACCTTTAGGGGTAAGATAGCACCGGCACAACAGAAGAGGCTGGACCAGTTGAAGGTTGCAAGCAATTCTTGGACACCAACATGGACTGGAAACTTGGTCCAAGATCTGTATGAAGTTTCTGGAAAGGGTCAACGTGTTGGGGTGAATTTAACTCAGCAAACTTGCAGCTGTAATGTGTGGCAGCTGACTGGATTGCCTTGTGAACATGCCATTGCTGCCATTGCACACAAGAATGAACCTGTGGAAAATCATGTTCACCAATGGCTAACAGTGGATGCTTTGCATGCCACTTATGAACACACTCTGAACCCAGTCAATTCCCAACAATATTGGCCAACTTGTGATGCCCCAAAACCACTTCCTCCACGCTTGAAAAGGCCTATTGGACGTCCAAAAAAGCATCGCAAGAAGGATCCAACTGAAGAGCTTATGAAGACCAACAAGAAGCTTAAGAAGACTTACACAGTTCAATGCTCCAAGTGTGGTCAGACTGGTCATTATGCCAAGACATGTAAGGGACCTGCTGGTGGATCAAAGAAAAAAACTAAACCGGTTAATGTTGAAGTTGGCCAGTCAAGGTCAGTTGAAGAGATCCTCATCAGCATGAGTCAGGGCCCTCCACCAGAGACAAGCAGCCAGCATGCACCAAATGCAGCTGAACCAAGAGCCAGCAGCCCACCACCATGCAATCCTGCTGAGGCAGTGACCAGTGAGACAGCAGCTGCAGCTAGCAGTGGCACCAGAGCCAGATTCATGAGCTTCATGACTACACCAGGACTCAGGCCACCTAGGCCAGCCCCACATAACTGAACATGAATTGTAATCACTGACATTAGGCCAGTTCGAATGTCTTAGGAGGCATTTTTTTTTGTTATTAGGCCATTAGCTTGGAATTGTAATTAGGCAAGTTTTTTTGGTTTACTTTGGTTTTGGCCCTGTTTAAATTATTCACCAATGACTTTTTTTTGTATGCCTCTGGTTATGGCCATATTAAGTATGAACACTTTGTTTTTTGGGAATACATAGTGTTCCTACTTAATGGTTTATTATGTCAGTGCCAATTGTAAGTACACAGTCATGATATCAATGAAATATGCTTTATGGATTACTAAATCTCTTATGTCATTACTAGTTTGGAATTGCTGTCATTGATGTGAAATGATTGGAAGATTATGTCAGTTTGGTTACTATCTGTATTCACTGTCATGATTGTTTTCTATACTGTCAAACAGTACTACTTTTTGATTCATTGCTTGTCTTGTTACAATATTTGTATGCTGTGTCATTTTGGGGTCATGTGTAAACATACCTGAATTCTGGGTTCCCTTTTATGCCTTATAAGTCCCCCACAATTTGGGTCGAGGACCATTTTAGTCCCTGTAATTTTTTCCTATTGGACAAATAGGTCCCTAACAAATTCATCGAGACCCAAATTAGTGCCTGTAACACATGACAGTAAGACACATGACAGTAAGACCAAAGGGGCACCAAAAGCTGTTACCACAGCAGCTCATTCCCCCCTTCTGTTTAATTCCCTCAATCCTTGTTGTTATGGCATTCCCTCAATCCACAGAAGCTCATACAATCTTTTGACATTTTATTTGGCATTTCAAGATAACTTAATACTTAGCAAATTGTGCTTTATGAACAATCAATTTCAAGGACATTAACCATTTTAAGAACAATCAACATCTCATTACATCCCAACAGTGGTCTTTCCATTACAGAGAAGCATACATATTACAGATTAAAAATGTGCATTTCACTCCACCCTACTACAAAGATATAAACATATTACAAAGACAATGAATGGATCAACTAAGCCCACATTTACATAATGGAGCAGCTTTCCTTCTTCCACTACTGAACCCAAACGAACTACCTAAGCTCCCCCTTCCAGAAGACATAATCATGGCATAAACACAAAGTTCAACCCTAAATCGAACAGTATACACCCACCTTCCCTAAACCGTCAATCATTTTTCCTAAACCGTCAATCAATTTTCCCCAAATTCATGCGTTCAACCTTCGATTCGATGCCATGCTTTCTGGTTTGAGTTGAACCCTAAACCCTAAACGACGACGTTTCTTGTATGAAAGAGAACTTTGTATCCAACGTGGCTGAGCTTACCCAAACGACGTCGTCCAACCACTCCACGTGGGCAACCGCATGTCACTTAACGTGACACATCAGCACCGTCACTCACTCCGTCAATTTTCATTTGACAGAAGGACTAACGTGGGACCTGTTTGACATTGTTGGGGACTTTTTTTTGAGTTTATTTTTCTTAAGGACTAATGTGGCCACCGCATTTTTTGTCAGAGACCAATTTGAGTCTTTACTCTAAACATTAAACTTGATTATAGTATATGTAGCTACTGTCCATCTATCTTAATATTGTTTGATAGCTAAAAAAATATATTATTTATTTACCTTAAAAGACTATTGGGCGAAAATAACAAGAACCTGATGCCGTGTTATAAATAACACTCTAGATTAAACTAAAGTATTCATTTTAAAAATAAATTACAAGAAGACAAAACCTTTACACCATTCGTTTTGAGGAAACAAAATAATACTTAGCAAAAAAGTAATGTTACAAGAAAAAAAAGTGTGTATCATTTTAAAAAATGTAAAGTTATATTATTTTAAGTGAGAAGAAAAAATAAATTATGAAAAAGAGAGAGTAGATAAAAATAAAATAAAAATAAAAATATCACTTTTTTATGAAAATAAAATAATACAAATTACATTATTTAAAAGAACAAATATGTTTTCCATATTATAATGCACATACTCCAACCTTTCACAGAATTCTCTGGCACAATGTCTTTTTGCTTATCTTTATTCAGAGGAAAAAAAAGGAGTATGACACAATCCTAATAAATAAATTCTCTGATGTCGTAAGGATTTATGTTTTGTATAACCAACATTATTATGATACTTAAAACAGAAAGTCACTATAATTGGTCAAGCAGTAAGGAATTTAGATAGTTTATATTAAATGATGTGTTTAATTTTTATTACTGTATAAAAAAGAATACTTAAAACAGAGGTACACTTTTGTTATAAAAAAATTAAGAAACAGTCGCATACATTCGTACTTAAGTTTTATACAGTAGACAACCCCCTCAGTTGGCCGCTGAGTTTTTAATAATTTACTTGGTTCAAGAGTTTAAATTATGTCTCAAGAAAATTTTAAATTTTTTTTTGAAGGTGACTGAAGGAGGTTGAATGAGGATATCTGTTAAACAAAAAAAAAAAAATTTATACAGTAGACTGGTATTTGAATATTTCAATATATATATATATATAGAGGTAGGATTCTTTGACACCGGTGTCAAATTTGAAATTTGACACCTCATCTGAGAGCCATTAGATCAAAAAAATATCAATGGTGTCACATGCTTACAAATCAGAGTCGTTGATATATTTTGATCTAACGACTCTCAAATAAGGTGTTAAATTTTAAATTTGACACGGTGTCAAAGGATGTTACCTCATGTGTATATATATATATATATATGGGTTTTATAAGAGTTATGTTGTAGGAAAAATGATTGTGTAATGTTATAGAGATTCGTTTTGCGTGCCTTAATTTTTTATTTATTTTTTTGTTTTAAAAAGTGTGAGCCCCACAAAATGTTGTGAGTGTAGAAAAATTTATTGTGTTATGTTAAATGATAAAACGAAAACGCTGTGTATATATATATATATATAGTCATAAGCAAGCGAATAAACGGGTAAGATAGACGCTTTCTTCATCTTGGCCTTCAACCCTACCTTGTAGCCTCCTCTCTATTTTTTTTTTTTTTTTTTTTGTAAATAAAGCCTCCTCTCTATTTTGTTTTAACCTCATCTCATACTTTAAGATATTCTTCCAATGACTCGTATCAATCACAAGCATGAAATTTTGACATGTTAATGTACACAATTTAATCAATATCAACGGCAGCAATAATAATAATAAAAGGAAGCAATGCTAATAAAACTTTTATTTGTTTATATTTTTATTAGATTATTATTTTTTAATTATTTTCAATTAATATGAATATATATATATATATATATATATATATATATATATAACTAATTAATTAATATTTTTTCTTGAATAAATCAAATTTAAAAAATTATAACTAAATAATTATTAAGAGACACGGTTTGTGACTTTGTGTGTAAAAGTTTGGTAACAAAATTTGACTTTAGGGTTTTATGTTCATTTTGAAGTTTGAATATTGAGCATACCACAACAGCAAAAGGGATCAGGAATCAGGAATTACGGTTGAGGATTTAGGATGGGTCAAACTGAAAGCGCAGAAGCTGCGGTGGAGACACAAACGACGACAACCAACAACTCCTCTAATCCCAGTTCTCTGGAATCCATGCTTGCAGGTTCAATTTCTAACGCCCTTCACTTGTTTGTAGAAATGTCTAGTTGAAAACTGAGCTTGTGTAACTGTCTTTATTTAACACAGAAGCTGCAGAATATGGAAACCAACAACAAACTGAGGTTTGCTTTGCTTTGCTATGATCCTTTCTAATCAATCAATTTGGCAAGTTTAATGAATGAATGAACAAAAAACTGAAAATTTACTTAATTTTCAGTCTCTTGAGGAAAAGGCTCAGCAAGCTCTGGAATGCCCTTGCATTGCCGACTTGCGAAGTGGTCCTTGTGGGTCTCAGTTCTCAGAGGCATTCCTGTGTTTTCTCAAGAGTACTGCTGAAGAAAAGGTTTAGTATATGTTACTTCAATCTTTACTCTTTATTCTTGGACTTAGTTCTCCCATTACATTAGGATGTTAAGTCTAAGAAAATTGATTTGTTTCCTGAAACAGAAGCTACCTATAATACTTGTTTGATGTGAGATTAATGGACTATAACATTGTAGTTCAGTATTTCTTCAACTACTTTTTTTATATAAGGGTGGCACTTAGGTTTGATCCAAAGACCTCATATGTAAATAACCCAAATCCATCACCACTGGACCACTCCTAAAGGCTTAGTGTTTCTTCAACTATTAGTTACACTTGCTTGCAGCCTCGAAGCCTGGCAACCGAAACTATTGTATATTCCAAGTTTTATTTTTCCTTAAAAAAATTGTTATAGATTCTTTCTACCATTTCTTTCAGCTCTCTGGGAGAGAACTCGCAATCTAAACTGACAACTACTAAAATGATTTTCTTGTTTCCTTGTGTTTTTTCTTCTCCTCATCTTTTGTAAGTCAAATGGCTCGGTAGCATATCTAACAGCTTAGCAATTGCGGTTATGTTTTTTTTTTTTTTTTTCCATTGCATGCCATCATTTGGCTCTTCTACTGATTGACCCGGGAACCTTCCTGTTTCAACATTGGAATGATTAATAGAGTTCTGTGGTAACATGCAAGTCTGTATCACTTAAATCATCATTTATATTATGTATTAGCAACTAGCAAGTAGCAACCAATATGGGCAAAATTCAAATTTTTATTTTCAACTTTTGGATTGCTATGTACTCGTCAAGGGTTGAAATATGCAATTTGCACCAATTTTGTAGGGCTCGGACTGTGTAAATCCATTTGTTGCTCTGCAGAGCTGCATCAAGGTCAATCCAAATGCATTGTCTAAGGACATTCTTGGCGAAGATGAAAGCAAGGAGTTGGAGCCAATCCAAGAATACAAAATAATTCCTCCCAAATGGTCTAAGGAATCTCAAAGTCCAACCTCCAGGCTTTAAGGTAAGAGTTGGACTCTTTTTTGGGCTACTACTCAGATAACAGTATGCCAAATTCATTTTGAATTTGCCTGATTGAAAAAGTGATAGGATACATAATCTCCTGAAAGTGCTTCATGTTATGCACTTTCTTTTTGTAATAAAGAATGAAATTTATTTTCTACACAGTTAGGGGTTGCACACTAAAATGCTGAAACCGTTCTTGCTAATAAATTGATATCCTTTGTTCATAATTCGTTCTCTTCTAGATAGATATTGAAATTGATTGAATATCTACATGGACGTGAAAAAAGAGAACTGCCTCTCAGGTTGTATCATATTATTGTTTAGTCTATCTAATCAAAACCAGTTAAAATGCTGCATAAACTTTAATTCGGAAGAACAAATAAAAATTTATTACAAAAAAAAGAAGATGCAAATTAATAACAAGGGCTGATAGTGTAATGATATATCATAGTTGTATATGAAATATTATGTATGCTTGTAAATTGCGATCCCAAAATAGGGAGACTCGCAAACTTAGAAGTAAATTACAATCTCAACATCATCCAATAATGTCTTCTTACGATTTAAGATTTTTCTCATGAATGGCTTTGGCATTTCATGTAACTTTATCATGCGAAGAGTCTTCAAATGCTCCAAGTCTCCAACCCAGTGGGAAATGCCAGATTTACGCATTGCCCCTTCCTTCACCTCCCATTGTTCCAGGTCCCTTAAATTCCAAAATCTTTTAATATATATTTTTTAATTAAATTATTTTTAAGATTTAAAATACACACTTTATAATAAATTAGTGTAATTGTATATCATAGAAATGAGAAATACAAAATTCTTTCTATTAATATATAAAGGGATATGATCAATTTACGTAAGAATAATAAGTCTTACGGATCTGGATCTTCTCATGTGAAAATTCACATGACCATGTCATGTGGGTAATCATAACCATACAAAGGTAGATCAATGGTAATAAAGGAGGAGAGAGAAAAGATATTAAAATAAGTAGTTACGAAATTATAACCGTTGATTTACTTTTGTATGTTGTGATCTTCTCATATGACAATATCATGTTTTTTTCCACATGAGAGTATCCATTTTCAAGTCTTACACTCAATCTTAATAATTGATTTTCGCCCATTAAATGACTGTAATTGATTGAGTTATTCTCATTAATTAATTATTAATTTCTAATAAATTATAATTGTTGGATGTACAAAAATTAACGATTAAGATTGAGTGTAAGATTTATTATTTTTATATTAGTATAAAAAGATTCTGTCCGGTATATAAATATATACCTTTAATGCTAGTGTTAATGAAATTCAATTTTTTATTTTATTTTTGTTGCTGATTTTTTTTTCATTGTATTAATAATTACAACGATATTAATTTAGTGATATCGTTAGTTCGTTACAAAATTAAACAAAGTGTCATTTGATGTGATGGGACAATGAGAATGATGGTTTCTCTTTGAAGTCAACCTTTCACCATGTATAGCCCAATGATGATGATACTTTAATTTGTAGCAAAAATTTCATAATAACATTTCTTCTTAACTTCATATAAAATTGATTAATTTTAAGACGGACATATAAACATTAAGATACATGACTACATTACCTTTTATTTAAATATTATCATTCTACTTAGAGACGACAATTTAGGTTGAACTCGACGGGTCAACCAGCTAAAACAGGGCGGGTTGGATTATACTTTTGAACCCACCAATTCACCTAAAGCCGCCTCGCCTAGCTGTGGGTCAAAACGGGTTGGCGATGGGCCGGGACGGTTGGCTCGCGGGTCAGTTAATTTTTTTTATACTATTAGGTAGTATTTTATTTGTTACTAAGCTTTTGTGATATGAAATTTTTTTTATCTTAATATTCTCCTAGAAAAAATAAAGAAGAAATTTTTTATTTATTACAAAGGTTATCCATATATTGAGGTAAAAATAAGTTTCTAAAAAATATTTGACTGAATATTAATATACATTTAAGTTTGAGATCGAAAAAAAAAAAACTAAAGGAATTTTGAAATGAAAATAAGAAATATTATAAAATTAATAAAATATAATTTGTTTTTAATTTTTAATATAATTTTTTTAGACGAGTTGGCCTGCCAACCCACCACAAAACGGGATGGGTTGAGATTTTCAACCCATATCAAAATGTGAAGCGGGGCGGGTTGGCGGGACAGGTCGGGGTGGACCGACCCGTTTTGCCACCTCTTATTTCTATTTTTTACTGATGCTCTATCTTGTTTCATTTAACCGATATGCTAAAAGATAAGAATATTTCTTATTCTAAATATGCAGTTGTCTTGAAAACTTAATAAAGAGAATTTTTGTTGCCTATGAATCGGTGAAAAATTTTAAATAACAATAATAATAAAGATATTTTTTTAAAAAAAAAAAATCTAACAAATGTCCTTAAAACATTTTTTTAAGATAAAAGTTTTTGTTGGTTAGATACCAGCATCCCACTAGGGACAAGGCAGATTCTCTAATCTTTTTGAGAATTTTTAGGAGGGATTACAAATCATCTACCAACGAAGTTTTTACATCGGCCAACGAGATTTTAAAAAGTGAAACATTCTATAAAAAAAAAGTGTTAAACAAAAAAGTAAAATATTTATTATATTAGAATCAAGAAAGTCTTTTAATAAATAAGTATTTATTTAATATCAAGCATTAAATGAAGATATCAAATGCTCTTTAGTTAATATCCTTAAGGCATATTTCAGAAAAATTCAAAAAATAATTACTAATCCTTTTATTTTCTAAAGCAACATATAAATGTTATCAAAAAAAAAAAAAAAAAGCAACATATAAATTAAAACAAAAAATATTTAAAGCGATAATAATGTGTGTTTTTTTGGAGTAATATTTGTATAAACTTAGTTCATACATATTAGGTACACTAGACTTAATTATATATAATATATTATGGTAGCAGCTAATCATTCTTTAATTATAGCATAATCTATTAATTAATAATATAATCACACTACTAAATCTAATTTGGGTGTACTAAAAGAGGTGAAATGCTTCCTAAACTTTTTTTGGGTACATTCATAAACTTCAATCCAGAAGAGTAACATGAAAATTTATTAGAAGAAAAAAGATGCTGATTAATAACAAGGGCTGATTGCTGATTAATCTATGCTCTCAATTTTTTTTAGAAAAAGTTCTTTCTAAAGTGAGATTGTCTTTAATGTGAGCAAATAAGGGTGTATTCACCTTTGAATCCTTGTGAGTTAAGATCATAATACACTTTACTTGCTCAATTTAGAGTCAAATTCACTTTTTTTTTTTTTTTCTTTCTGTGTTGAATGAATTGTTTCCAATGAATTAATCATGCAAATTAACACAGTTCCAAAGTAGCAATACAATTATTCAAGAAAGGAAAGAAAGTGCTCCATGAATTGTTTACAATGAAGTAGCCATGTAAATTAACATCGTTCCAAAATGACAATGCAATTATTGGAGAACACACAGAAATCAATCAAAGTGCTGCAAAAGAACAATGAAATTATTGGAGAACACACAGAAATTAAAGTACTGCAGTTTGAGAAGTACATAGAGCGCCTTCATGAAGCCGTAGCCAAAAAAGCCTTCACTTTTCTGAGAGTCTGGAAAGCTTGGGAAGGACTTAGAGCAACACGGAAAACTGAAAATATTAATTCACCAAACACCATCAACATCTTTTCGTCTGGTTTTTTCTGATGCACATCCAAATAACAAAAATGAGAACAAGCCTGCATGTGACAAGTTGCAATAAAAGGAAGTAAACTATCATTATGAAAGATGAAGTAGGGGTGGGGAAGCATACTGTTTGATATTAAAGGCCAAGATCCTGAGTGAGTGTTCGTCAATGAGCAATCTCAACGTCATCCAATAACGTCTCCCTAAGATTTAAGATTTCCTCCATGAATGGCTGTGGCATTTCATGCAACTTTATCCAGCGAAGAGTGTTCAAATGCCTCAACCCAGTGGGAACTGCCAGATTTTCGCACTTGCGGGCTTCAAACTCCACGAGGCTAGGCATTGCTCCTTCCTCCACCACCCATTTTTCCAGGTCCCATAAATTCCATAATCTCAGCACTTCAAGTTTTTGAAAGCTTCCTGTGGTACAAACCATGATGTTTCCTGTATAAGAGCCAGCATAAAAACACAGTGACCTAAGCTCGCGCAGGTTCTGCAACTCTGGCATAGGATCATATGACAGTTTTGAAGCAGACAAGGTGAGATCAGTAATGTTGTTTGGGAGACGGCTGCTGCGTAGTCTATCCTCTAAATTCCCAAACAACTGGAGGGATGAGAGCTTCTCCAGCATTGACATGTCTTTCAATTTTAGTTGTTCAGGATCACCCATTTCATCTACTGATCTTAGCCTCAATGAATGAAGCTGGTTAAGTTGCACAATCATGCTGGCAAGTGTCTTTTGCTCTTTTTTGGTCAACTGGAAAGCTAATTTTAATTTTTCAAGGTTCTTCAGCCTGTGAAGATCAGGAAGAAGAGGGCAACTCCCATACATGAACACACCCCATAGTGTGCGGAGATTCTCCTGAAAGTTTCCACGCAGCTTGCCCTCGAGTCTACTTCGATATTTATGGTTCAGATATAAGTTCCTCAGCTTCTTCAATTTCCAGATCGAACTAGGGAGGACACGGATACATGTATGCTTTAAATCCAGTGTTTCCAGGTTCAGAAGTTTACCTATGAATGGTGGCAATTCCTCCAAGTAAGTCCACCTTAAGCTAAGGTACTTAAGATGAATTAACTTACTCGAAGTCTTAGGCAACTGAGGTCTGAACACACGTTCTAGATCAAGAACTCTTATCTCCATGAACTGCTCACTTGCCAGGCCTGTTGAAAGGATCTTCCTTATGTGTTCTCCCGGCTTACTTCCCTCTCGCTTGTCAAAGAAAAAAACAGATTGGGGAATTTCTTTCTTGCTGAATACGTTTGCCGAATTTGCATCAAGACCACGGTCATCAAAACAGTAGGCAAATCGACGCTCTAATCGTGTAACTGAGCACTGGCTGTGGTTTATTCTGTCGCTTCCTCGCAATATGATTTCTCTGAGCATACATGGCAGGCGACATGTCTTGATCTTGGAATTAGACTTTAGTGCCACTACTTGAATCATGTTGCAGTCTCTCAACTCTTCTAAATACCCTTCTGCAGTGTCTTCGGGTGTCTGCTGTTCGTTTTGTTCCACCAATTCTTCCGCAACCCATAGATTAACTAATCTCCGTGCTGGGATTTCAAAGTCTACAGGGAAGAGTGTGAAGTAATAAAGACAGTTACTCAGAGTTTCACTCAGTTCTTGCTTGTTCTTTTCCCAAGCTTGCAGCCATTGTGCTTTGTGAAGGCCATGATTGATTCGATCAAGCACCCACATTAAGTTATTTTCAGTCATGCCTTTAGCTGACATGACACACCCAAGAGATAAGATTGCAACTGGTAAGCCCCCGCATCTTGCCACTACCTTTCTTGCAAGTTTTTTCACTTGTCGTTCTGATTCGGTCCATTCGGTGCCGGTCAACCTCACAAACAACGCCAAACTCTCTTCCTTTGTTAGTAGTCGAATTTGATGAGGGGTGCTAATGCTGTCAGGATGCAAGGCCACATTCTTAAAGCGTGTCGTCAGCAATATTCTGCTCCCATTTGCCCATCCAGATCCAGATAATCTTTGGTTTACTTTATCAAAATCTTCTGTTTTTGAGACATTATCTAGAACAACAAGGCATTGCTTCTCTTTCAAGTGATCACATACCTGAGTGACATACAATGTCTGGTCTTTAGTCCCATCCTCTTTCATCAGTAAAACTTGTGCTTTGTAGGCAGCTCCTTCGGTTAATGTCACCCAGACACGAATAGGGAAGTGCTGGACAACAACTTTGTTGTAAAAAATTGCCTTTGCAAGAGTTGTCTTCCCCACACCTATCATCCCTACTATGGAAAGTGTCGAAGGATTGCCAGTACTCGTGGTCAGCTTCGAGACTAAATCCCGTACTTCATTTTTCACACCAACTACTTTGGTTGACTTCTGTCTTTCGATGCTGCAAATTTTTGTTATATTCTGTAGAAAATCAATAGCATTTCTGATCTCTCGACGATTGAGCTCAGGTTCTTCCATATATTTTTCCAGAAAAATGTCCACCTCCTTTGCCATGGACTTTAGTAGCTCTAAACAAGCGGTTCTCCCCGCTGTTTCTTCTGTTCTCTGAAGCTCTTTATGCCTTTCTTCCAATGCTTGACACATTGAGATGATTTCAGCTACTTGCTTTGGGCTCCAATCACGCTTGATCTGCTGGCTGCGGATGCTTCTTACAGCTGATGTGATTTCATTGTCATCTGTATTGTATGTGAAGGTTGACTTTTGTGCAGCTCTATCGATAAAAGCGAATTTATACTTGTCCTTCCTTGCAAGCAGGCCATCAAAGTCAGTGACAATGCGCTTCATGTCCACTCTGAATTGATGCGTTACTATGGGAATGTAATTATTTGATCTGCTAAATCTTGAAACCCACCATGAGAATTTGCTAATGCTGGCCTCTGCTTCTGAAATTAATTTTTCCGCTTCTCTTTTCCAGAGCTTTTCTGTTTCAGTTTCTAACTGAAGCTGACTCAAATCCATCACGAAAGCATGCAGTGGAAGTAGCAGATATATAGACCATCTCTCTTCCATGCTAGAAATTTGGTCTTTGATCTTCATTATTAGTTCATCTATACTTGTAGAAGGCTTCTTTTGCTTTTGATTTTGATTTTGATTTTGATTTTGATTTTGATTTTGTGCTTCTACAGATATATTGGTCTCTTCAATTGTATATTGGTCCAGGAGACTTCTATTCTGAGATCTTGACCTCTCCATGGATTTATAGATGTCCTTTGGATCTTCATCTGTCTTTGTTATGTGAGCTTCCATCTTTCTTCTGACCACATGTATTTGATCACGAACATTTTTAATGGGTATTAATCTGAAGATAGCCGTGGGAAAAACACGAAGCACTCCTCGGCTTTGTTTGTAGTAGTTGGTGACACAGTCTTTTGCATCGCCAACCACTTTTCTTGTTGATTTTACCCAATTACTCTCAGCTTCACTTAGCTGCAGATGAATCCCAGATAGGTCTTCTGAATTCCAGAAACGACAGGCTCGTGATTCTACCTTGTGCCCTTCCTCCACAAGTTGATCATAATCTTTTATCAGAGCTTCTAGTGACTCCAATTCTCTCACTATCCACTTAACTTCATCTTTGTAGTGGATGAGAACACGATCAAGGATCAGAGAAACAACCACTACAATGATTATTATTACGAGACAGAGAAGAAGCCCAATGGCAATAGTGTTGTTCTCTTTTCCTTGCGAAAGGGAAAATGAGGTGTTTGAGTGAGTCGCCATCTTCAGCAAGCGTTTCTCACAGAAGAAGACCAGTTGCTTCTGTTGATGTTTGGAATGAATTTCTGGTGAAGGTTTTTGGCAGAACTATACAAGGGGTCAACTCAGCTGACAACACAAGTTAAAGTAAGCAATGTTTACACCAGAGTTTCTCATGCATTGCTATGAGTTTAAGCATCCTTAAAATTGTATCTTTCTCTTAATTTGGCTTTCATAATTTGTAAGAAAAAAATGAGAAGATTCAAATTCATTATTTTTCGATACCATGGGTTATTATTGACTTGAGTACTTTGCGGGTCAAGCTATTCGTTCTACTGGTGACCAAGGCAGTTCCTGTTGAATGTGAAGAGATTCCAAACTAATATTTAGTTTGTTTCCGTGCACTAGGTGTTGACTTTAGCTAATTGTTTATTCTCTTACCGGAGAAATGATAAGAGGGGACTTATGTAGCACCGATACTGACACGGGACACGTTACACGACACGACACGACATTCCGACACGTTAATTCTAAAAAATGTTAGATTTCGACACGTTAGGACACGTTTTGATATTAAATAATATTTTTAATTTATATAGTATATATTATATTTTTCTCTTAATTTGGCTTTCATAATTTGTAAGAAAAAAATGAGAAGATTCAAATTCATTATTTTTCGATACCATGGGTTATTATTGACTTGAGTACTTTGCGGGTCAAGCTATTCGTTCTACTGGTGACCAAGGCAGTTCCTGTTGAATGTGAAGAGATTCCAAACTAATATTTAGTTTGTTTCCGTGCACTAGGTGTTGACTTTAGCTAATTGTTTATTCTCTTACCGGAGAAATGATAAGAGGGGACTTATGTAGCACCGATACTGACACGGGACACGTTACACGACACGACACGACATTCCGACACGTTAATTCTAAAAAATGTTAGATTTCGACACGTTAGGACACGTTTTGATATTAAATAATATTTTTAATTTATATAGTATATATTATATTTAATATTCAATAATTTAACAAAAAAATGAAACTAAACTTATAATATTCATCAATTTTGTAAAGAAACATAAGATATCCCAAATATTTATATTAAATTCAATAAAATGGTAATCGTAATCCAACAAATCTAATAGTTGGAACTAAAAATCCAAAGCAATGCAACCTTTGAACCCTTTTTTGAATATCTATAACGAGTGTTGGAGTGTCGGGGAATGTCAGAGAGTGTCGAGAAGTGTCGGACACGACACGTCAGGATTTTTGAAGTGTCGGTGCTTTATAGAAGGGGTTGACTTTGCTGCAAGTTAGCTTCACCTTCAGTCTTGTTTGTAAAGTTCCCCTTAACACCTATAGTCTTGTCACTAGAGCGGCAAAACGGGCTCGGCTAGGCGGGTCGACTCGCCCCACCAGCTAAACGGGGCGAGGCAGGACGGGGCGGACTGAGTTTTTCTATCCATCTCAAAAGCGGGGCGGGGTAGGCTCATTTTTTGATGGGTTGATGGCGGACATAGGCGGGCCGAAGCGAGTCAGTGTAAAATAGGCTTGCCAACCCGGCTAAACGAGGCAGGCGGACCGAGTTTTTTAGCCCACTTTCAAAAGCGGAAAGAGACAGACTCATTTTTTGACGGATTGATGGCGGGGTGAGGCGGGGCGGGACGGGCCGTTCACTTTACCATCTCTACTTGTCACAACTATTTTTCTTTCGGGGGATAGAATTTTTCAAGTAACTTAAGGTCAACTCCAGTATTATGCAAGTAACAGAGTTGGAAACGAGGTATGGTTGGAGTGGTAGCAGTCAGTGGCGGATCCAGAAAAATAACGAAGGGTGAGCACTCAATAAGGTCTGGTCTTGAACGTGATTTACGAGCAGTTGTCGACTGGCTCGATCTGGTTTAGATCTAGATCTAGATTAGGTTTGGATAATGAAGGTGGAGGAGAAAAAAAACTCACATGAAAATAAATTAGAAGGAGGGAAATTAAAGGTGTAGGATATTGTAACAACCAACTAGGGTTACTACCAATCAATTTCACCGTTACATCGATTAGTTGATCCAACGGTTATATTTATTTTCATCTTTATAGGGTTATGATCCCCATATTTAATGTAACAGCATTAAATATAGAAAATCATAACCATACAAAAGTGAAAATAAATATAAAGTATTAAATATGGGAATCATAACCATACAAAGATGAAAATAAATATAACCGTTGGATCAGCATAATCGTTCTAACGGTAAAATTGAAAATTGATTGGTAGTAACATTTGTAGTAACCTAATTGATTGTTATAATATCCTACCCTAAAATTAAATTGAAAAAACTTAAATTTTAAGAAAAAAATATTTTTATTTTTACATCATATTTAAGGGTGGACACTTGCCCCCCTTCTCCCCTAAGTGGATCCGCCTCTGGTAGCAGTATATGATGCATTTTTACATTGAAGAGTATCCTCTTGTCTTGCTACTGCGTGATCATGAACTCTTGATAGGGTTATCTGCTGGAGACGCTCAATTTTAAAGTTATCAGGGGCTGGCCTTCTCAAATAAATTTAAAATTAGCAGGTATATACAATTCCTTTAATCATCAGTTGTTCAAGCAATTTTACTGGCGAATAAAACATTTCAAGGTGACTTTCTCGGCGGTTTTTCAAGTTATCCAAGTTTTTATTTTTCTTAAATTTTTGTTACTAGTATTCTTGGTAAAACTTTTGTCATCCGGTTTCTATTGGCGCCTATGGTTAAGACATCAATATGATTTACAAAACGAGGCTGCTATTAATGAGTGTCTTAAAGCACTGGTTAAAAAATATTTAAGGCCATTTTCTAACTAGATACTAAACCATATTCATTATTTTAAAAAAGTATTAAATTCATTTTCAGTTATCAATATATTAGTTTTTTTTATTTAATATTATCTATTTTGATTCCATATCGTAATAAGAACCATGGGAACTGAGTAATCATTTTTCTATATATGTCATATAATAAGATTAAATGTGGTCAATTGTCAATTCATTAAATGAATTGGTGTTCAAAGATGTTGGAAGTTGAAAGTTTATTTATTTTTTTATTATTAATTTTTTTGTACAGGAAGTTGAAAGTTAAAATCGCATTTAGCCAAGCCCGTGGAATGTATTGGTGAGAATAGACATGAGTTATTTATATAAGGTTATAAGTTCAAATGACCCAAATAATTTGTATGAGGTTATATGTTTAAATCTTGGTATTATTATTATATTAAAAAAATTGCATTTAACCGATGATGAGCAGCACACAAGTTATTTAAAGTGACAGTAGAGTACAGGTCTTCCGAAGGAAATTGTAATTTTTTGCTGCAAAACATTGTGTATTATAATCAGGATGGATCAAGATGTTCATGGGATCCCATTTTGAGAATTATATCCAATAAAAACTGCAACTATTGATAAAGAAATAGGAAAAAAGTCAACGAAATTATGTGTAGATGGGAATGGGAGTATTCTAAGGATAGGGATGTTGTGGGTTAAGGTCCCATTTGGATGGGTTCTTTCTGCAAGATTTTTTTTTTTTTTTGTTCAAAATAAAAGTGTATTTCATTTTGTGTTCAGGGGAAATTTTTGAAAAATAAGTCAGAAAAAATAAAAAAAGTTGATTTTTTTAAAAAGCCGGAAATCTGGGCTTCATTAAAAAAATCAAAGTAATATTATTATTATTTTACTTAAAAATACTTTTTAAATATTAATTCAAATGCAAAATAGTAAAAAATAAAATAAAATAATTGTTTCTTTTAAACGGTCTAAACCCGAGACTGCATTGGGGTAGTTACATCAAAAATTGTGTTGATAATAGTTAACGAGAAAAGTATTTCTCCTGTTATTATCATAGGATTGTAACCTAAAATCACAAAATGCATAACATATTTTTCTCAAATTCTAAGGTAACAGTATCTGACAAAAGAAATACTAAACCAGTAATTAATATCTTATTTCGGTGTTTGCATGTTGATTATCTTATTCAAAATAAGAGTAAGATAACAACAAAAGCATTTGATGGCCACGTGTTTATGCATCTTGATTCTTGAACACTAACTTTTTTTCAATTTTAAAGTGAACACAACAGAGCTCGTCGCCAATGCGGAGAAAGTGTTAATGCCAAGTTATATAATGCTAGTCTTGGATCTAGCATCGGGGTTTACTTTTGTAATTAACTTCATGATATTATTGAGTTAATAACTCATATATGAGAGGCTAAGGATCGGCTTATTTTGATTGTCAGGCTACTCTAATTTTTTTTTAGTTCAAGTGCTAGGCTCTGAACATCGATTTAAGAGGTTACTCCTTGATATTCTAAAATAAGACTTTTTAGGACTTTTTTAGAGTGATATATATATATAAGATTTGATAGTATAAACATATATTATATATTACAACATTTTATTATACATTAAAGAATTCTGTTGTATAAGTTTATATTATATGATAGTCATAGCAAACAATTAAAAATATCATAACATATAATATAAACTTATACCATCAACTCTTATATATTAATCTTAAATGTACATTGGTATTTGGTGGCGTGTTACCTCTCGCATTTATTCATTGTCCATTGTAGAGTATAGGGTCATTGTGTCCATTATATATTCCCTTTCTTTTAGCCATCTCTAAGACACCCACGGATATACTCTACCCCATAAAAGATACAGACCAGTTTATATATATATATATATATATATATATATATATATATATATATATATATATATATATATATATGTCAAGGTCATTTTACACCAATATAAATTACATTCTCAATCTTATCTGTTGATTCTATTTATATCTAACTACTCAAATTTTTTAGTAATGTAAGCCATTAGATACTAATGAATCAATAGTCAAGATTGAGTGTAAGACTTTTAACTTTTACAATGATGTAAGAATATCCAATATATATATATATATATATATATATATATATATATATATATATATATATATATATATATATATATATATATATATATAGAAAAGTATTTC